TGGTGATGGTGTCCCGATGATGATGATGATGATGATGATGGTGGTGATGATGTTGATGACGTTGATGACGATGAAGTTGATGATGGTGATGACGACGTTGGTTGCGAGATCGATTGTGATATCGATAATGAGATCGATGATGATACCGAAAGTGAGATCGATTGTAAAATCGATAGTGAGGTCGATAGTGAGATCGACTGTGAGATCGAAAGTCATACCGATTGTGAAATCGATCGAATGGAAATATCGAATGAGATCGATTGTGAGATCGATCGAGTGAGATCGATCGAGCGAGACCGATAATGTGATCGATAATGAGACCGATAGTGAAATCGCTCGAGTGAGACGTTGGTCCTTCCCTCCCCGAACCTCCTTATCACCCGAAGGGCGGTCGTATAGGTGTGTGTATATATATATATATATCGGACGTTGGGGGGTGAGTCCGACGTGAGACGGAGACCCCCTACCGGGAAATCGATTTCGGTTTCGGGTTCGTGTCGTGCGTGCCGTGCGTGCGGGCGAGGCGAAGCTGCGTGGGCTGGCGAGAGGAAATCCTCCTGTGGCTGGGCCGCGGCCGGACCAAATGATTCTCCTCCGGCGGCCAGTGGCCCACGGTGTCCCGCCGGTGTCCCGCGGGTGTCCCGAAATCCTCCTGTGGCTGGGCCGGGGCCCGACCAAATGTAACTCCTCCCGCGGCCGGTGCCCCGCGGTGTCCCGCCGGTGTCCCGCGGGTGTCCCGCCGGTGTCCCGCCGGTGTCCCGTGGTGTCCCGTAGTGTCCCGTTGAGTGAGATCGATAGTGATAGCGATAGTGAGATCGATGTGGTGTCCCGTGGTGTCCCATGGTGTCCCGTTGAGTGAGACCGATAGTGAGATCGATAGCGAGACCGATAGTGAGATCGAGAGATGTCCCACGGTGTCCCGTGGTGTCCCGTGGTGGCCCGTGGTGTCCCGTGGTGTCTCGTTGAGTGAGATCGATCGTGAAATCGATAATGAGATCGACAAGTGTCCCGTGGTGTCCCGTGGTACCCCGTTGAGTGAGATCGATAGTGAGACCGATCGAGTCAGATGTTGGTTCCCCCCCCCTTTCTTCCCCCCCCCACCACAACTTCCTTATCACCCGAAGGGTGGTCGTATAGGTATATACAAATACATATGTGCGTGTGTTCATAACTTTATGTATGTGGATGACTCTACGTTTTGCAGTATGTGTTATGCAATACCTGCTGTGCAACATATGTGTGCAAATTATGTGTTGCGAAATATGTTGTGCAACGTACGTCGTGCAATAGATGATGCGAACTATGTTGGGCAATCGATGAGGTTTAATCCACGTGGTGAAATATATGCAATGCCATAGACGTTGTGCAATTTAGGCGGTGCGATCTATGCGGTGCACTCTACGCGGTGCAATCTAGGCGGTGCGATCTATGAGAGGCGGCGACGCACGGCGACGAGGCGGCGACGGGGGCGGCGACGGGGCGGCGACAGCGGCAACATAGCCGCAAGAGCGGCAGACAGGCCCAGACGACGGGGCGGCGACGAGGCGGCGACGGGACGGCGCCAGCGGCAATTTATCCGCCAGAGCGGCAAACAGGCCCAGACGACGGGTGGCGACGAGGCGGCGACGGGGCGGCGACGGCGGCAGCATGGCCGCCAGAGCGGCAGACAGGCCCAGTTCCTTAGAGCAGAAATAGACACCCCTGAGTGCAAGCACTGCTTCGGGAATGAGGCTCTCGCCCGAGCGCCGCGCACATTTGTCTCAAAGCTTGCAAGTGTGGAGGCCGGTTCGTTTTTAATATGGCGGTCTCGCCTGAGACGTCCGCAGGTTACACTGGCGGCCTGCCTAATACATGTGTAACTCTTGAACAATACAATCGGCCGAACTGTCACGGATGTTGAACCCCAAGAGGCCCAAACGACGCCCCAAGGAGCCTCAGGGAGGCCCCCAAGACACCCCCAGAACTCTGACATTGTGATTATGTTCGCAGCGGGGGTTCCATGAGACAGGGATCCCTTCCCTGGGACTGGATGTTCATGCTACGTAGTTTTCTGACGGTCCTCAGGGCCCCGTGAGGGCCCCAGGAGGCCGAAAAATAATACAGCCCTGTCCTGGCGGTGGACCCGACCATACACGGGCGTGAGCACCGCAAGGCAGGTGGGACGAAGGAAGGGGGGCTCCCTTTGGGGCCACGAAACGTGTCAAGGTTGTGAACGGCGAGGTGCCGCCTTGCGGGCGCTGCCACTGGTACCTGCGGTCGAGCTCCCTATGGGGCCATGAAACGCGGGGTGTACCAAAGAAATGAAGCGGCCCCGCCTTTCAAACCTTGGCATCTGGGCCATATTCAGGTGGAGCTCGCGATGGGTCCACGAAGCGTGTGAGGGGTGTACACACATGGGGCGGCGCCGCCTTGCGAACCCGGGAGGAAGACGAGGAGGAAAAGGAAGAGGAGGCGTAAGAGGAAGAGGAGGAGGCGAGGGGGCGGGAGGGGAGACGTGGGGCGCTGCGGGTTCAAAACGATGACCCAACATCCTAGGACGGCTGGGGGGAAACAAACAAACAAACAAACAAACAAAAACAACAACACCACCACCACCACCACCAACAACAACAACAACAACCACCACCACCACCACAACCACAACCACAACCACAACCAGAACCACAATCACAACCACGACCACAATCATGTTAAGACTGTTCGCCCTTTTCTGCTCGACGGTCCAATAACACGTATTTCCCATACCCTCGATACCCGCCCTCTTCGTCTTCGATCGAACCCCTTTTGGGGGGTATACTTTTCTTCCCTGCAGGCCGGGCCCCGGCAAGCGGCGGGGCGGCCGCGGACCGTCGGCCTGGCCAGCGGCAGCGCTGATCGGCGGGGCGGCCGCGGACCGTCGACCCGACCCCAAGAGGGACGGACAGGGGACCGACCACGACGACGACGACGATGACATCGACGACGACGGCGACGACGACGACGGCGACGACGACGGCGACGACGAGCGAAAGCGAAAGCGAGAGAGAACGACAGCAGGGCCACGAAGGGCACGAAGTAGGCCACGAAGGGCGACAGCAGGGACACGAAGGGAATGCGTATGGGGCTATGGAAAGCGCGAGCGAGCGGGGGCCACGAAGGGCAGATAATGCGGGGCCACAGAAGGCAACGCTGGGGCCACTGAGGGTAGCAACTGGGCCACTCAGGACAGTGAGGGGGCCACAAACGGCGACAGTGGGAACACGAAGGGCATGCACATGGGGCCACAACGGGCGCGTACGAGCGGGGGCCGCGAAGGGCATACGTATGCTGGGCCGCGGAGGGCAAGAACGGGGCCACGGAGGGCAGCAACGGGGCCACGAAGGGCAGCGAGGAAGCAGAAGAACGACAGCGGGGCCAGGAAGGGCATGCATATGGGGCCACCACGGGCGCGAACGAGCGGGGGCCACAAAGGGCATACATATAAGGGGCCACGAGGGGCAGCGAAAGGGGCCACGAAGGGCTGCAAGGGGGCCACGAAGGGGAGCGAGGGGGCCACGAAGGGCTGCAACGGGGCCACGAAACAAAGCGAGGGGTCACGAAGGGCTGCAACGGGGCCACGAAGGGCAGCGAGGAGGCCACGAGGGGCTGCAACGGGGACACGAAACAAAGCGAGGGGGCCACGAAGGGCTGCAACGGGGCCACGAAACAAGCGAGGGGGCCACGAAGGGCTGCAACGGGGTCACGAAGGGCAGCGAGATCCCGATTCCTAGGTAATCTGCGAAGGAATCCTAAGCGTGAGCGCGACTCTCGGGTGCCTGGGTGTCGGAAGCGCGGCGCTTGAGTAAATTGCAAGAAAGTCCAACGCACGGGCGCTATTCTATAGTAAATTGCAAGCAGGTCTCCAGCGAGAGCGCGACTCCAGAGCGCCGGGAGAGCGACTCCTGAATAAATTGTAAGGAAGTCCCCAGCGAGAGCGCGATCCCTGAATACAATACGAGGAAGTCTCGGGCGGGAGCGGGGGTCTTGGCAAAATTGCGAGGAAGTATGCGGCGGGAGCCGTTGTTGTTGTTGTTGTTGATGATGTTGTTGTTGTTGTTGAACTCTCATTTATAAAAAATAATTATTTTTGATCCCCCCCACCGGTGCACACTGTTTTTTCTAAGTCAAAGTGCGCCCCTCGACGCTCGCACCCTGTTTTTTTTGACAGGGGAAAGCTTGATCCTCAAACTACGTTGTTGCCCTCCCGGATTACAACAACAACGGCTCCCGCCTCAGACTTCCTCACAATTTACTCATGACCCCCGCTCCCGCCTGAGACTTCCTCGCAATTTACTCAGGATCGGCGCTCCCGCCTGAGGCTTTCTCGCAATTTACTCAGGACCCCCGCTCCCGCCTGAGACTTCCGCACAATTTACTCAAGGAACGGCGCTCCCACTTGGGACCTCCCGCGCAACTGAGCTACGCTGAACTCTCATAACGGCGCTCCCGCCTGGGACCTCCTTCGAACTCTCACGCCTGAAGAATAATTGTTGTTCTCACACGCGACTCTCCGAGGGAATAACGCTCAGAGGCGATTAGTGCGTACGCGCGGCCGCGCGGCCCCGCGCGGCCGCGTCCGGGATTTTTCCGGCCGTTTCGCTTGGGACATCCTTGGAATTCTGAATATCGGCAAGCCGGTCCTTCAGCCAGCCAGGCCGATCGTCCGCGCGACTGCATCGCCGCCTGCCGGGGGCCAGCCTGTCGGCCCTTCAGCCCCCGCCCTCCTCCCTCCTCTCTCCTCTTTCCCTCGCTCCCTCCATCCCTGCGTGCCTCCCCCCTCCCCTTCCTCCTCCTCCTCCTCCTCCCCCTCCTCCTCCTCCTCCTCCTCCTCCTCCTCCTCCTCCTCCTCCTCCTCCTCCTCCCCCTCCTCCTCCTCGTCCTCCTCCTCCTCCTCTCCGTAGCCATTTTGGCTCATGCCTGTCCCCCGCTTTCCGCAGCCCTTTCGCCGATGTTCCGTGCCTCGGCGGCGGCGGCTCCGGAAGCTGGCACGACATGAGGATGGCTACGGGAGAGGCGGTCCTGCGCGGCGCGGCGGGCGCCCGTGCGGCGGCAGACCGCCTCGTGTCTCGGCTCAGCCGCGAGCTGGCCGAGGCAAAGCAGCGGTGCGCGGCCCTGGAAGCGGAGCTGGCGGCGCGAGCGGGCTCCGGATCCACGGTGGCCGCCGAGGTGGAGCGCCGTGAGGCGATTGCTCGACCGGCGTTGGTCGCACGACTTCAGGGCTGCAGCGTACCCCATGGAGCTCGCCTACGCAGGAACGTGGCGCTGCATTCGCTGGAGTGCCCGCCCGCCTCGGCGCCGCTGGCGAGCTGGCGGCGGGCGCAGCGCGGGCAGCGGCTCGGCTCGGCGGACGTCGTCACTCAGCCGTCCCTTCGAGCTGACGCCCCGCCTTTCTGCCCTGGTTTGGGCCGCTGGGAGGTCCTCCCCCCGCCGACGGCGGTGGGCTGGCTCTGCACATGCGGCGCGACCCTCTTCGGCGACTCCGCCGCGGGCTCCCCTTCTTACCACGAAGACGGTCAAGATGATGGTTTCGCCGAGCTTGCTGAGCGCGGTGACGTGCATCTTCACCGTCGTCTGGTTGATATTCCCCTCGACGTTCGTGCATCTTGCGTCCCTGGTCCTGGTGTACGCCCTGGTCTTGTACGTGGTGCTGAGTGGTGGCAGGCCCGTCAAGCCATTGCCAACACATGGCTTGTCCAAGATGCAGGCGATGATCGAGGAGCAGCTGCGCCTCGTCGTGATTCCGAGCCCGCCGTGGAGATCGTCGGCGAGCTGAGGGGTGATCAGGCTGCAGCTGTTGCAGGATGGGAGTTCAGCACTGCAAGGGCGCGGCTCCTCCGCGACGCCGACGCCCTGAGATGTCCCACACCACGTTCTGCAGTCGCCACGGGGCCGCCCATCGACTGGAGCGCCATCGCGGCCCCCTCCGAGGCGGGCGTGGCCGCGCAGACAGCACCAGCGGAGGCGTCGGCCGATTGCAACCAGAGTTGAATAGTGGTCTGCGCTACGTGAATGCGTCAGACGCCGCGGTGTGCTGGGAGATTTTTCGTCTTCGTCGACGCGTCCTCGTTGGCCTTCGCGGAGGCGGTCCTCTTCGAGCGCAGCGCGGTCGGGGGGTCCTGGGGTCCTCAGGTGGACTCCAGGCCCCCCGCGGTTCGGTTTCAGAATATCACATCGTGATGGCGTCCACTCCACTCCACTCCTCCTCCTCCTCCTCCTCCTCCTCCTCCTCCTCCTCCTCCTCCTCCTCCCCAAATTCCTCCTTATCCTCCTCCTCCTCCTCCTCCTCCTCCTCCTCCTCCTCCTCCTCCTCCTCCTCCTCCTCCTCCTCCTCCCCACCTCCTCCTCGCTCCCTCCCTCCCCTCCCCCCCCCTCCCTCCCTCCCTCCCCCCCTCCCTCCCTCACCTCGTCGTCGTCGTCGTCGTCGTCGTCGTCGTCGTCGTCGTCTTTTTTTTCTGTCTTTCTTTCTGGTATTGTTGCCGCAATCCTGCGTGCGGCGCGCGCCCACCGCTTCCGGATGTCTGCAGCGCGCGCGCCCTGGTGGTTCCGGAACCGCAGTGTTATTGAATCGCTTCGCTTATTCCGCCGGCCCATATGGTAGCATCGCTGGCACTTGCTTGCGGGTTCGGGGGGGGGGGGGGGGAAGAGGGGGGGGGGGGGGGGGGGCATTTGGGGGTTTCCTGGGGCCGCCGCTTGGGGCCGTCTCGGGGGCCTCCTGAAGGCCTCTTGGGGGCCTCTTGGGGCCTCTCAGGGGCCTAAGGCCTTCCTGGGGGCTTCTTAGGGCCGGGGGCTCGAAAATTTGTTTCGTGTTCCCCTTCTGGGGCCCCTCTTGGGGCGTTCTTGGGGCCCTCGTGGGCCGTCTTCGAGGCGTCTTGGGCCGTCTTGGAGCCTTCTTGGGCCGTCATGGGGACCTCTTGGGGGCCTCTTGGGCCCTCTTGGGGCGATCTTGGAAGCCTCTTGGGCCGTCTTGGGGCGTCGGGAAGCCGAAAAGGTGAAAACGCCGAAATCTGTCCAAAACCTATGATAAATCAATCAATTTTGCCGTCTTGGGGCCCTCTTGGGAATGCTCTTGGTGGCCTCTTGGGGCGTCTGGCCCCAATTTGGGGAGTCTTGGAGCGATCTAGTGGCATCTCGGACCCCTCGTGTACCATCTTGGGGGCCACTTTGGGGCCTCGTGGCCCTCTTTGGGGCTCTCGGGGACGTCTCGGAGCCCTGTTGGCGCGCTCCTGGAGCGCTTTGGGGGAGTCGACCGGGAACTGACCGGGACTTGACCGGGGTACTTTTCGCCCGGGGACCCCCAGGGGATGCCCCGCGCGCGCGAACTTGAAATACTATTAATCGGTTACCGGAGATCTTAGCACGCCTCTGGCCCGTTGGGCCGGCGAATTGAGATCGCCCCTTCCAAGCGCACACCTCAGCCCATGGGTGCCAGCGCACATCGCAAGCGCATGCACTAGCGATGCCGCCCAACCCCCACAAGGCGGGAGCGCCTGGCTCCACCACTGTAGCTGAGATAACGTTGGGCTCCGGCCTCGCTGTCCACATCATGCCGACGAACTCCAGAACCACCAGCCGCTGCCCGTCTTTTTCACACGCGCTAACCATCTTTATCACACCATCGCTGTATCTGAGGACTTCCCCACACGTGCTGGTCCAGCACCGTAGCTGATGATAGCGGGCTTCGGCGTCGCCATCGGGTTCCAACATCGCCCTGAATCCCGCTGGGCAGCGCCAGAACCCAGTGGGACAAACGGCCTGCCGCGCACGCGCCGGCACCAGCGCTGCAGCTGGTGACGTTCGGCTTGGGCATCGTCTCCCATGTGCCCCCGGATATTGCCAGAGCTCTCGCCCCAACGTGGCCGGCGACGGCGGGCCCCAGGTCACCTCCCACGTCTCCTTGAGCGTTGCCTTCAACATAACGGCGAGCAGCATCGCCAGCGCCTGCTACTGAGGCTTACCCTTTTCGCACAAGCAGATCCTGGCGCTGTAGTAATGGCGCTTCGTTATTGTATATAGCTGATCATATTCCCGCACGCGCGAATCCCAGCAATGTGATTGATGACATCGGGCTCCGACTTCGCCTCCCGCGGGGCCGCTGGGCAATAACACTGTCCACTGCCGTATTTCGCTTTCCTGCACGCAGTGGCCCCAGCGTTATGGCTAATGAAATGGGGTATCAGTGTGGATTGCCGCTGATATCTGCTTGCGACAAGTGAAATTCACCGACAAGTGCCAGAGCTCGCTGCCTCTGATTGCGGGTTCGCCTCCCGCGCTTCTCCAATTACACGTGGGCGGGAAGAAATATAACCCCCCAAGAGGGGTACGATCGAAGACGAAGAGGGCGGGTATCCAGGGTTTGAGATATGCGTAGTGAATGACACGCGGGCAGATAGGAGCGAGCAGTCTTATAATGATTGTTGTTGTTATTGTTGTTGTTGTTGTTGAATTCTCACTTCTCAAGAACAATTATTGTTGACCCCCCCCACCGGTGCATACTGTTCGTTCTCAATCAAAGTGTGCCCCTCGACGTTCGTACCCTGTTTTTTGACAGGGAAAATCTTCCTGCTCAAAGTGGCCCCCTGGCCCCCAGGTTACTACAACAACGGCTCCCGCCTGTGACATCCTTACAATTTAGCCAGGACCCTCGCTCCCGCCCGAGACTTCCTCGCACTTTATTCAGGAATCGCGCTCTCGCTTGGGATTTCCTTACAATTTATTCAGGAGTCGCTCTCCCGGCGCTCTGGAGTCGCGCTCTCGCTGGAGACTTGCTTGCAACTTACTGAAGAATGGCCTTGCGTTGGACTTTCTTGCAATTTGCCCCAGCGCCGCGCTCCCGACACCCAGGCACCCAGGAGTCGCGCCCGTTGTGGCCCCATATGCATGCCCTTTGCGGCCCCGGTGTCGCCATTTGTGCCGCCCTCATTGTCCTACGTGGCCCAGTTGCTACCCTCAGTGGCCCCAGCGTTGCCTTCTGTGGCCCCGCATTATTTGCCCTTCGTGGCCCCCGCTCGTTCGCGCTCTTCGTGGCCCCATACGCATTCCCTTCGTGTCCCCGCTGTCGCCCTTCGTGGCCTACTTCGTGTCCTTCGTGGCCTTGCTGTCATTCTCTCTCGCTGTCGCTTTCGCTCGTCGTCGCCGCCGTCGACGTCGTCGCCGTCGTCGTCGACGTCGTCGTCGTCGTGGTCGGTTCCCTGTCCGTCCCTCTTGGGGTCGGGTCGACGGTCCGCGGCCGCCCCGCCGATCAGCGCTGCCGCTGGCCAGGCCGACGGTCCGCGGCCGCCCCGCCACTTGCCTGGGCCCGGCCTGCAGGGAAGAAAGGTATACCCCCCAAAAGAGGTTCGATCGAAGACGGAGAGGGCGGGTATCGTTGGTTTGGGAAGTACGCGTTGTTTGACATTCGAGCATATAATAGCGAACAGTATTAACATGATTGTTGTGGTCGTTGCTCTTGTTGTTGTTGCTGTTGTTGTTGGTGTTGCTGTTGTTGTTGAACTCTCATTTCTGAAGAATCATTATTGTTGATCCCCCCCGTCGGGCGCACATTGCTTTTTCGATTGAAGTGCCCTTCCCGGGGCTCGTACCCTTTATATATATATATATATATATAAAAAAGGGAAAGTCTTGAAGGTCAAGCTGTGTCGTTGGCTCCCTGTCTTACAACAACAGCAACAACAATAAGTTTAAGACCGTTCGCCCTTAGATGCTCGAGTGTCCAATAATGCGTATTTTCCAAACCCTCGATACCCGCCCTCTCCGTCTTCGATCGAATCCTGAGGGGTATACCTTTCTTCCCTGCAGGCCGGGCCCCGGCAAGCGGCGGGGCGGCCGCGGACCGTCGGCCTGGCCAGCGGCAGCGCTGATCGGCGGGGCGGCCGCGGACCGTCGACCCGACCCCAAGAGGGACGGACAGGGGACCGACCACGACGACGACGACGACGACGACGACGACGACGACGACGTCGAAGACGACGGCGACGACGACGACGACGACGACGACGAGCGAAAGCGAGAGCGAGAGAGAACGACAGCAGGGCCACGAAGGGCACGAAGTAGGCCACGAAGGGCGACAGCGGGGACACGAAGGGAATGCGTATGGGGCCACGAAGAGCGCGAACGAGCGGGGGCCACGAAGGGCAGATAATGCGGGGCCACACAGGGCAACGCTGGGGCCACTGAGAGTAGCAACTGGGCCACGTAGGACAGTGAGGGGGCCACAAACGGCGACATCGGGGCCACAAAGGTCATGCATATGGGGCCACAACGGGCGCGACTCCTGGGTGCCTGGGTGTCGGGAGCGCGGCGCTGGGGCAAATTGCAAGAAAGTCCAACGCAAGGCCATTCTTCAGTAAGTTGCAAGCAAGTCTCCAGCGAGAGCGCGACTCCAGAGCGCCGGGAGAGCGACTCCTGAATAAATTGTAAGGAAATCCCAAGCGAGAGCGCGATTCCTGAATAAAGTGCGAGGAAGTCTCGGGCGGGAGCGGGGGTCCTGGCTAAATTGTAAGGAAGTCACAGGCGGGAACCGTTGTTGTTGTAACCTGGGGGCCAGGGGGCCACTTTGAGCAGGAAGATTTCCCCTGCCAAAAAACAGGGTGCGAGCGTCGAGGGGCACACTTTGATTGAGAAGAAACAGTATGCACCGGTGGGGGGGGGATAAGCAATAATTATTCTTGAGAAATGAGAACTCAACAACAACAACAACAACAACAACAACAACAACAACAACAACAACAACAATAACAACAACAACAACAACAACATACACATGAACGCTTCGCGACGAGAAGGAGGTGGGGGGAGGCTCCTCTGCCTTCACCGCCACCGCCCACCCCACTCGTACCCCTGTTCCACCACATCGCGGGTCGGGGAGCCCCCAAGGCCCGCCCACAGGGAGCCAAGGAGGCGAGGCAGCAGGTAAAGACTGACCTACGTTCAGGAATCTTTGCTTGGCGCGTCGCGGCAACGGC